TGAGTATTCGAAAAAGCGGTCGAAAACGTCGATTAGTATTTATAGTTGCGCATTTTGTTCATACAAACTTTTTATACGGGCTGTATCAGATAACAGTGGCCAATACCAACTTGCTTATTTTAAATATAACACCCTGTATATAAATTAATTTTTAGATTCCTCAGATCATTTTAAAAATTTTTTAAATACAATGTCCTATCTTTAAATGTTTCGGAAATATTAAGTAAAATGCAAAAATTCACATTTAGAAAAAAAAATTATCTATTTGCCGAAATTGGCTACAACATATTGAAAAACTTCTAAATAATACAAATCTAAACAATATTGTCAATGTAGAAGATGTTCAAAATGCTCCTCACGAACGTCTTGGTAACACCCTAACCGTGAATAGAAATTTCTTCTAACGTTACTCAACATTTCAGATGTGATCGATCTAATCGCAAACTTTATTTGTCTTCGTAAGTCAGCTAAGTCAGTAAGTTTAGTTTTGTATACAATACTTTTCACAATTCCGTATAAGAAAAAGTCTAATGGCGTCAAATCGGAGGATGGTGGTGGCCATACCATCGATCCTCGTCTCCCTACCAACCGATTTAAACATATTTGTTTCAGGTACTGCCGGCATGGATTTGGTAGTGGGGTGGTGCTTTATCTTGTTGAAACCATATCATATTTGCTGAAACTTGTGGGTTTCCTGGATCAGGATATAAGTGGCCAACGTTAGCACTATATTATTTTGGAGCAATGCTAAATAATTGTCGCCATTCAAATTGCCATATATATAAAAAAGGGACATATGATCTGATCATCAATAATTCCTGCCCACACGTTAACCTTCTCAGGGTATTGAGTATTTCCTTCTCTCATCCAGTAAGGATTTTCTCTGGAACGATAGCGGCAATTTTGTCGATTAATATGACCGTGAAGAATGAAGGTACACTCATCAGAAAACAAAACATGTTCGCATTGGATTACACTGCTGTCTAACATTGCCATATTTGTTCACAAAAATACGTTCTCCTGTCAAAATCATCTTCCATGAGCTCCTGAGTGTGTATAATTTTATAGAGATTTTATAGGGATGCATTTTGTTTTCTTGTAGTGGTCGAATAACCTATGAATAGCTAATATCGAGTACTGGGGCTGCTTTTCGAATAGATGTATGTGGGTGTACCTTAAACTCAAGCATAACAGCCAATTTGGTATCCTCACTTATTGCATTGGCAGCTTCTTTTTTCACGTTCCTAACATGGCCCAGATCGTGGAATTGCTTCTCTATTATACTAATTGTCCCTTGAGATATGTGCGGCCAATCAGGAAATGCTTCGTGAAATAAACGAGCTACGTCCATTTGCGCTGGTGTCTTATATCCATGGCCAATCATCTGTATAATTGTAACCAATCTTCTGGCTTGCGGTTAATGAAATTCAAACGACTATATCACTGACAACTACTTCTGTCACGGAACAATAAAACATTGGCCTTTTAAACCTGTAGCATTTGCAATTCATTGATTTTTTTGGTGTATATTGAAATCCCCTCGTATATGTAATATATTGAAATCCCCTCATAAATGTTTGAAAAATAGCAGAATATTTTTTAATCTATTTTAGTTTCCTATTTGTATGTATTAAAACACCGAATTATTTTAATTTAAAACAAAATATTATTTCGTTCTTTTCAGCGTCGTAAGTAATAAAACCATTTTAGAGTTGTTTATTATTTTAAAGATGCCACTTTCTCGGCATTTTCTTTTAATGTTTTATTCGAAGTCGCCTTATAATTTTTGTACGTCTTAGAAATGAAATCTTCTGCGTTTTAATTCCTGTCAAGTGTTTGTTATTCCAAGTTAAGTGAACGAATTCTTAAGAGAATTTCGTCATTCTTACTTGGGTCGTTGTAGGCGCAGGTATGGATTCAAATAGATTCTTACTTGGGTCGTTGTAGGCTTAATTATGGATCCAAATTCTTTCGACGAATTTGTAGTTTTCTGTTTTTGAAATATGTGGCAGTGAAAAGTAGTTTTGTGGCAGTTAATGCTTCAATTAATTTTTTTTGAGTGAGGATTGGAAGAATCCTCGTTTCCTCGACTTCGACTTCGACTTCGACTTCCTCGTTTTGTTTCTCCTTCAGAATTTGTTTGTCATTCAAGGCTTTTTGGCAGTTTGGAGATGGAGTTGTTCGTTACGCAGAGAGTGAAGCCCCCAGTTCCAGTTATGGTTTCGGAGGTTCCAGTGGTGTCTGGTTCCACAAATTTTAGTGCAATTTGTTAGTGAAAAATCTAGGTATCTTTTTGATCAAACTTTAAAGTAAAGACAGACATTTTTTTTTAATAAATAATTGCTTTCGTTAAAATTTAAAAATAGTAATATTTAATATGGTAAATTTTCGATTTTGACTTTAGCTGTCAATTTGTGTGTTTAGTTTTTTTTATTTATTGTTAACATATGACAACTAGCTTTATTATTATTGATTTTCATTTGTTTTGTTTAAAAAAAAAAGGTTAATCTCTATGCGGTAACATTTGTAAGTTTTTTGTAGTATCTCCAACTCCTAGAGTTTGTAAATGGATGACATGTAAGTTTTTTGTATTTTACAACTATAGTGGTCATATTTTTATATTGGTTGTTTTGAGTATTCGTGTATTCTCTATGTTTTGTAACTGTTTGTGGTAAGACACCAATACATGTTAAATTTTGTTTTCTTAACATTTTGTTTATTTTTTTGAACTAACCCTTTTTGAGTTTTATTTTAAAAAGATATGTTTTTTATATTTAATAATTATTTCCCTAGTTACAACTAGTGGTTGTAGTAGGTATAATTAGGCACCTCAAAGTGGCGCCCTATATTAAATTACTAGAGGTGTTTCCTATTTCATTTTCATTTTTTTTTTGTAGTTGCCTCAATCCAACCCCCTTATCTTTTACTTATCCAAGACCCCAGCTCTCCTAACAAATCCTGAGTGCCGTTCGCACAAGTAGCGTTTATTTTGCTTGCCTTATTTCCACCCCATTAGTTTCAGTCCCCAATTTTCTACCTTTTGTATTAATACCCCATGTGGTAGGCAAAATATTTTCGTTACAAACCAAAGTAAACAATATTTTGTTATTTTTAACATATCAATAAAAAGGAATGTTTAAATAGTTTTTGCTTACTTTATCATTACCAAGACATAAATGGGCAAGAAGTATTAAGACTGTGGTAGCGACTTTTAATAAATAAATATTTTTTTTAATGTTGATTTTTGCATTTTACTTAATATTTCCGAAACAGTCAAAGATAGGTATACGACATTGTATTTAAAAAACGTCTAAAGTGATTTGAGGAATCTAAAAATTAATTAACATATAGGGTGTTCTATTTAAAATAAGCAAGTTGGTATTGGTCACCGTTATCTGATACACCCCGTATAAAAAGTTTTAACGGAAAAAAATGCACAACTATAAATATTAATCGCCGTGTTCGACCGTTTTTTCGAATAATCTCTCATTTATTTATTAGCTAATTTATTCCATTTGCCTGACACACAGTGTATATACATCTCAAAGGCTTCTATTTTTGAAGTTACACTTCTATACGCGCGTTCGACGTTGGAAATTTGTACGGGAGTGAATCGGCAAAATTATTAGATATGTAAGATATAGGTAAGAGAGAGACAGAAGATATATTTTCTCTCTTCTTTCTCTCTCGAGAATAAAAATGTTCCTTTTGTAAATATATTTAATATTTTTTAATATTAGATATTATTATTTTTACATTCTGTTCTGATTTGTGTCGAGCCTCGTTAGGCATGTTAAATTATAAATTAAAACTTGTAAATATCTTGTAAATACAACAATTAAATTTTATATCTGTCAATGTCAGAGAAATTGATAAGTGTATCATAAAACAACATTTTTATTTTATTAATATTATTATTATGGTAAATTAAACCTATGCTTAAGTATGTTATGTATATTGTCATTTTTAAATACTTATGAATGTTGCATTTTTAGTTGTATTGTATTATTATATTGAATTATGTTGCAATATATTTAATTATGCTGCAGTGTATTGTATTGTATTTTTATATTAATAACAAAATAAACAACGAATTTTACTGCAGAGTATGTGTAAATAAATTTTTTTGCATTCAACTCGTTTCATGCATATATGAAAATAAAAATATACATTTTCTTCAAAATATTGATTCAATTCTTCATTTACTATATTCGAATTACAGCTAAAATACTACTATATACTACTATACTAATAATAAAATACCTATATACCTAATTATGTTTCTCTTTCTGCTCTCTCTTACCTGTAGCATTACATATTTAATGATTGTGCAGATTGACTCCCATATAAATTTGTAAAGGCGAACGCGTGTATAGAAGTATAACTTCTACCGGCACTCCCACTGGACTGCCACACCTGTTTTTTGTTGTTTTTGGGTCCATTTTCTAACTTTCGCTCTTATATAGCAAGATATAGAAAACGTTATATCTGGTCATTCAGTTAATGAGCTCTAGGCTAAGGTTTGATCTTATAAAAGATATTCATTTTCATAAGTCTTATATACCCTTACATACTCGCTTGTTTGATTTTTGATAGAATTTTTTTTTAATTACACTGCTTATGTAACTGTGGTGTGATGTTAATATTTGCTTCCAAATATTTTATGGAAGATACCTGATATTGTTTTATTGTATTATTTCTCACTTAATTTAAAATTGTAATGTGGAAGAGCAAGCAACGTAATATTGTTTGATTATTTTGATTCATCTTAATAATTAATCTATAAACATATGTGTATCTATTGAAAACCAATATAAAAGGTAAACTCAAGTCTCTCAGATGTAACAATATAAAAAATGTAAATAAAGCAATATTCGATTTTCCATGTATTACCTCAGAAACTTTTATTTTTGTTCATTTTACCAAATACAAAACATTCATTATAAAACGCATAACTGTTTTTGAAGCATACTTTGAATACGAAACATACTTTTTTGCAGGCAACTTGGATAATAACATGGCCCATATATTTGATATTCCTGTTTACAATTCCCGACTGCGAAGCGAAGAGATTCAAGAAATGGTTTCCGCTTACATTTGTAATGTGCATCGTTTGGATTGGATCGTTGTCCTATGCAGTCGCTTGGATGATAACTATAATAGGTAAATCTAATATATTTATATATATATATATATATATATATATATATATATATATATATACAGATTGAACGAAATAAATTCGGAACATAGGAATATAATGTATTTCGGCTCAATTCTGCTGTAAGTGGTTGGCCAACAAAAGATTGTCAAATAATTACATTATAAAAGTCCCACACTTCAGCGGGCTGCTGGATTCTGAACTCATAAAAATTGAAAGCTACACATAAATCTACGATTTTATTATGCTGTCAAACCAGTTATAGTCCAGGAAATGAAGCATTTCACCTCGCAATTTTTTCGTGCTGCGTGAATTGACTTGCAATTTAACAGAAGGTAATAGCCTAAGGATCAAAATCTAATCGAACCAAAGTGCGCCAAAGCCTAGGGGGTGGTTGCCACCCCATCTCCGGGGTGAAATTTTTTTTACGTTTTAACTACAGGTTTCGATTAAAAAAGTGATTCTAAACAAAAAATGTGCTATACATTTTTTTTATAAAATGATATTTTTCAAGTTATTCGCGATTGAAAGTAACAACTTTTAGACGAAAAAATCCACGTTTTTAATCGATTTTTCGCGAATAACTCGAAAATGGTGCATTTTATCAAAAAAATTGTAGAGAACAAATTTGTAGCTTTTAAAAAGACAAATACAATTCATTTTTTAAAATATTTTGCGATATAATTGGAACCGAATACGGCCTATCAATGTTCAGCGGTTTTCTTCAAATGCCAAATTTGAAAGATTCAAAGTCAAATATCGGGAAAATGATGCATTTTTGGAAGAAAACTTACAAAACCTTTTTTAAAGAGCGTAAATAGACCTATCATAAAAAAAGACTCTAGCTCAAAAATTAGTGAGTTATGATGACAATAAGGTCAATACCTCATTTTTACGAAAAAATCGATGAAAACAACCCCCTAACCACCCCATAATTAAAATCGATCTTCACCCTTCTGCAATTCCCTTTGTACATATATTGTTAATACGTCCAAGAAGTTTGACCCATTTAAAATGCTTAGTTTTAGAAAAAGTACAGCTTAAAGTGAGAAACGATTTACAATTTCATATTTTTTACCCTTCTTTTTTTAAATATGCCCGAAAACACTGAATATATGAAAAAAATAAAAATTACCAAATTTTTCGAGCCCTTTAAACTCACCCCATTTAAAAACCAAGGGTTCAAAAAGATTTAATTCACAGATCCTTGTAGCTCTTAAAAACCTCTACAAATCGTTTTTGAAGAAACACTCTATCGTTAAAAATTAAAGGAAATACGTTAAAAAAAACCAGTTAATTTTTTTCCGGAAAATTCCATTAGTATAGTACAGTACATTTCGGAGCATAATAATCTACAAAACCGGTATATTAGCTAGTATGGCGTTATACATTCGAAATTTTAAGCGTTCTTATTTTGAAATCTCATACAACAGAATAAAACATCTGCTCATATGTCTAGGGCTTGGCAATGAAAATATCAGAGCAACAGATTGGGGATGGTATTCCAAAGATGGTTTGTTATTACCCGTACGCATGAACAAACAACCTGCACCCGATGAACTTTTGAAAATTATTTTTTGCCAATGCAAAAAAGGATGCGGCGTTTCATGTGGGTGCAGAAAAGTTGGTTTATACTGTAACTCTACTTGTTCTGGGTGCTCAGGTGAAGGGTGCAATAACAGTCCACCAATAATTGAAGAAGATGAGGATGACATAGATCACGATGAAGATGTAATTGATGACGAATAAAATTAATATTATAATTGTTTTACCTATAAATGTAAATATTTTCAACTATTTATGTAAATGTATAAGAATATATGGTGCATTTTTATGTTGATAATTTTTTTTGTATTTAATTCTACTTTTTTCAATTTATATCTTATAAATTAGTTTATAAAAACTGCAATGTTGTAAAGGGTGATTTTGAAAAGTTGCAAAATTTTGGCAAAAAATTGTTTTCACCTATAGCACTCATAACATTTGATTTTTATGGGTTGAAAATGTATGAATTTGTATTTTAAAGTATAAAAAAATCACTATTTAACTAATCCAAACCAAATTGCACTCATCTTAAGATTTGTAATATTATTTTACAATTTTTGAAAATTAGGGGTAGTTTTCACCCCTAAGAACAATCAGGGTTCATCGGCATGACATAAACTATAAAGCAGAGGGTGAGTTGAGCTTAATTCCAAATTTTTATGCAAATCATTCCAAGGTGAAATCATTTTCTTCGCATTACTAATTTTTTTATATTAATCTCTAATAAGGGTCGCTTTTTAAGGGTTGAAATATGATGGAACTTTATTCAAAAGCACGAAACTATCATTATTTAATTAATTCAAACCAAATTTTACCCATATTCATGTTTAATATGTTATTTTATAATTTTTGACAATTAGGGGTAGTTTTCACCCCTAAGAACAATCAGGGTTCGTCGACATGACATAAACTATAAAGCAGCGGGTAAATTGAGCTTAAATCCAATTTTTTATCCAAATCGATCCAAGGCGAAATCATTTTTTTAGAATTAGTAATTTTTTACATTAATCTTTAACAAGGGTTGCTTTTTAAGGGTTGAAATATGATGGAACTCTATTCAAAAGTATAAAATAATCATTATTTAACTAATTCAAACCAAATCTTACCCATGTTCAGGTTTAATACGTTATTTTATAATTTTTGACAATTAGGGGTAGTTTTCACCCCTAAAACCCTTCAGCGCACTTCGATTCGATATAGATTTTGATCCTTGGGCTATCACCTACCTTCTGCTAAAATTTCAACTGGATACATGCAGGACGAAAAAATTGCGAGGTTTTAACTTTTTTCGAGCTTCATTTCCTGAACTATCTTCCTTAGACAAACCTGTCTTACGCAAACAACTTTGTTGCGAGACAGATAGTTGAACGATATTTTATACAATGTCTATACCCAGGTATGAATTTATTTTTGTCCAAGTTTTATATTGGTCCACTATTTCAAATGCAGTTCAAACAGACATGTATTAAATTGTATGTTCCGTTTTAATTTGGTTCAATCTGTTTGTATATATATATATATATATATATATTATATATATATATATATATATATATATATATATACTACATTTTTATGTATGTTTTGAGCCTAAGGTCACTTGTATTCAGAATCCTAGATCGTCAGAACTAAGGGCGCAAAAAGTACTTTTCTATACTTTGTCTCAAAGTGACTAGTCTATATAGAGTAAGATATGCAATGCTAACCTTATGGGAATTTCGCCAAGACGTTGCCAGTTTTATGCAGTGAGCGATGGTGTTCTCTATTGTCTATCTTTCAGTATAAACGGAATAAACTTTGATCAAATAAAAGGCAGATATCGAGCACAGTTTTATTAATTTAACCTTGCCCAAGTACTTTCCCTTCCTAGAGCATCTTCAGGGACATTTCGTCAATTGTGGCCGATCCAACAAGAATAAAATGTTATAAACATAAAATTAAACATCACACTACACTACATAAGGACAAACACTTTAAATTTTTTTTAAAAATAGGCGAAGCTACATTATGTATGGAAACCGGAGACAGAATCATACTGTCTTCAATCTTTATTCAAGAATGGCTTCTGTCAAAGGATCTATTTTTTTTGAAGAAGACTACCTAAAATGCGAGTTACTTAATGTAGTCAAGGCCTTCAAAGCAAAATATGACAGGTACATAATAGAAGATATTGCCAAAAAGCACAATGTGAAGATTCTGAGGCTCCCACCCTATCATTCTAAACTCAATCCCATCGAAATGATTTGGAGTGAAGTGAAACGGTATATAGCTGGACGCAAAGCGAATTTTAAAGAAGCTGAAATGCGAAATTTAATTACAGCAGCGTACCAGGTCATTACGCCAGAGAAATGGAAAAACTACGTAAACCTCGTAATAGCAACAGAAAAAAAATGTGGGAAATTGACAATTTGTTGGATGCTACCGAACCAATTATTATAGATATAAATAACGGAGATAGTGATGACAGTGACGATAATAATGGTGATGATGATGATAGTTAAGCAGAAACTAAATGTGACAGCGATTGACAGAAGAATTAACTAAAATATAATGGTGTACAATTACGATTACTTACACACGAAATTAAATACAATGACAATTAACTTTTGAACGGAACAATACATAAATAAATTGTTTCTTTATATTTTAGTTTTATTTTATTCGATTATATTTAAATCTATAAACAAATATGATTTGTGTCGCTAGCACATACTGTAGAATTAAAAACAAACTGCTTGTGTAACATAAATAAAAGGCATTTCTTAATTCCTATTTTATTTTAATTTAATGTTGTAGCAAATATTATTTATGTTTGAGAACCACTGACAGAAGGAAGTTAGGCAGGGTCGTTAGTAGGCATTAGTACTTAAGCTACCCTCAACACAAAAGATGGATTAGGCTAAGTAGTAAGAAGAGACGTTTATTTTGATATACAAGTTTGCAAAGAAGTATGGTATCGATGTGCATTTACGCTGTACAGACTAGTCACTTTGAGACAATCTATAGGGTCCTAGAGAAAGACAAAATAAGTCGTTATTATGTGCGGCAAATATTTTTTAAATATATTTTGTGATATACTTTAAAAAGATTTTAATTAATTGACTAATAAATTCACGTGTTACAAGTGTCAATTTCTTTGACACAATTTGACACAGTTTTGAAAGATATTTTTTTACTTTTCAATATGTCAAATATTAAAAACAAACAATACTTGAACATCCTTGTACTGGCTAAAAACATTCTAACTAATGGCACGAAAAACAAGTTTATACCTATAAGTATCGGGCCACAAGATTAAATTAAGAAAATAGAATCAAACAACAGAGTTAAACAGGAGAATAGGACTAACATCAGAGACAAGATCAGATATTCTTATGTGCTGAAAAAGAAAGATCGTGGATCAATGTATACAGTCCTAACGTATGAAGCAGAAACATTTAATCCCTACCAGAAAAATCATCAATAAGATACAAGTGGCACAGAGAGCAATGGAAAGACCAATGATAAATATAAGCCTAAGAGACAGAGTTTCAAATCAAATAGGAGAAAAATTGGTGTTATAGACACAGTTAACGGAATTACAACGCTGAAATGCAACTGAGTACAACATGTCGCTAGGGTTAGATTGAAGATGGACAAAGAAAGTTTTAGAATGGAGACCTAAAAACGATGCTTATTGCAATCCATGACGTCCTCCAACAAGGTGGTCAGACGACATCAAGGGCACCCAATACAACTGGATTCAGCATGCTTACCTACAAGTTTCTTCCTACTACTGTTAGAAGTTTTTTCTTAAAATCATCGTTTCTTCTTCTCTTTCTTCTTTCCCTTTATAAGGAATTCTGCTTGTTCATTGGGGGATTACTAGCTTAATGGAAGGTTGTCACTTCATCTTTTGCGTGGTCGTCTGATAATTTTTCCACCTATTAGTGATTTATCTCTTGCTATTTTGATGATACGAGTTTCCAACATTCTGCTTATGTGGTTGTTCCATTCTTATTTTCTATTTAGTGTCCATTTGTATTTACACTGCAAGTTATATTTTCTTCTAATGTCTTCACTTCTCTTTCGATCTTTGACTTCTAATGTCTTTAATGTTTAGGTTCTCTCATTGTATGGCCAAAGTTTTGGAACTTTCTTACTTTCATGATGTTGATCAATTCTCGCTCTTTTTGCATCGTCTCTAGCACACGTTTGTTAAATATGTGAACTGACTACGATATTCTGATCATGCGACGATAAGACCACAACTCGAACGCTTCTAATTTATAAGGATTTTTTATTTTTGTTGTCCACTTTTTACATCAATAGAACAAAGCAGTCTAGACGTGCACTTCAATACTTTTAGACGTATGGTCAACGACAGACTTCTACTACATAATACAGAACGCCAGTTAATAAAGCTTTGTCGTGCATTTTTGCTTCTGGTCGAAATTTCCTTGTCACTTCTAACCCTGCACTCAATCAAACTAACCAGATATATAAAGTGTTCTACCCTTCCCAGGATTTCATTATCTAATTTTAGTATTTAGTCTTGGATATTATTGTTTCGGACCGTTATTCACTTTGTTTTCTATGCGTTGATTGTTAAGCTCTTTTCAGTGCATTCGTTATTTACAGTGTTTAATAAGATTCATAGGTCTTCTAGGCTCCCTGCTATTATGGCAGTGTCATATGCGTTACTGATGTTATTAATAATTTCATCACCGATTTTAACACCTTCGCGACTATTATTTAATGCTATCTTAAAAACTGGTTCAATGTAGGTATTAAAGAACATCGGTGACTTAACATCCCTGTCTGACAACAAGCTTAATAGATATTCTTTAGCTAAAACTTATTGATTTACCTTAATACAAGCGGTCTGATTGTTTTAAAGATTTTTGAGCAATCTAATGTCATACGTGTCTAGGCCAACTGAGTACAAGCATTGAAATACTGGTTAAGTATGTGATACTCTATCAAAGGTTTTTTCGAAACTTATAAAACTCACAAATAAGCAATGCTTATTTGTAAGTGTATTGGATTACAAAAAAAAACCTCCCGAGTACCCATACCGTTTACGAAACCCAACTGTTCTTCACCAGTTATCCCCCCACAAAGTTTATATATGTAACAATGCACTACTTTGATAAAAATTTTGAGAGTGTGACTCATTAAACTGATAAATCGATAGTTGCTACACTGTCTAGCATTCCTTTTCTTAGGAATACTTAGAAATATTAATTCTAACCAGCTTTCTGGTAATTTATCGCTGCTTTATATCTTGTTAAGGAAGGAGGTGATAATCTTAACGCTCTCTTTATCTAATAGTTGTAACAATTCTGCAGTTATTTCGTCAGGACCAGAAGCTTTCATTCGTTTCGCTTGATCGATGGTACTCTGAACTTCGCTGGTCCAGTATCTTGGTTAGATGTTACTTCTTGGTAGATTTTTGAATGATCTTTAAATAATTCTATTATATAATTTTCCCATTCAGTGCAGCTCTCGTTAATATCACTTTAAATTCTACCACTAGAGTCTTGCAGTATATTTTGGCTGTAAATTCTGGTTCGGTCTGGTAATTCTTTTAATTTTTTTATGCAAATAGAAGCTGTCCAATCTTTACTTTAATTTCTCAATTTCACAAAGGTATTTCAGGTAAACTTCAGTCACAAAACACAAGATGCATACTATAATTACAAGGAAATAAGAAACGAAATAAATGCACTTGTAATAAAATAAAAAATAATCATTGGAAATGCTTTTTGAAAGAAATGGAACATGATTTTTATGGTTTCTAAAAGAAAATGTGGTGCTTTAAAACAGATCAAAGAACGAAGGTAAAGGAACTAATAGAACTAAAACTCATAGAAAGGGATACATGAATTGACTACCTTAAAAGGTCTATGCAGAGGAAGAATATACGGCGCCAGTATCGGAAGCAAGAAAGTACCACAAATAAAGAACTTTATATAAATAGGTAAATATACAGGGAGTTCATAAAATACTGTTTTAGGGTAACAATGATAGAACAATTAATAAAATTAATAAATAAAATTATAAAATACTGAAATAATGGAGAAGGAACGAACTAATTTTACTATTAAAAAAAATAATATTTTTGTTAATTGTGGAAGTTTATTTGAACTACTGTTCCTTATTTTTTCACTGATCTAGATTTAGCTTCTTCTTCTTATAGTGCCGTGTACCTATAGTGCGTTGGCGAATTATCTTAAGGTCAGACGTCTGTCTTTGGCGGCATGCAAAAGATCGCCAGTGATATTTATGCCTGTCCATTTTTTTATGTTTCTAGATTTAGCAATAAACTTTAATTAACCTTACACATATCTTGTATATAAGCTAGAAGTTACTACTATTTACTCATACGCCTCTTTAATATAATTACTATATATTTTCCATGTATTATGTTTTAGGTGACACCTTAAAAATCCCAGATTCGGTTATGGGCATAACGTTTTTAGCTGCTGGGACTAGCGTCCCGGAGGCTGTTTCTAGCGTTATTGTTGCAAAACAAGGTAAATTATGTTATATATCTTTATTAATATATTACAAAAGTATTTTGTTTAAACTTATTTCAAAGTCTTTATATCTACAAATTTACCGGATTTATAGAATATAATGCGATCATTACTTAAAAATTATTTAATAATTATGTACCAACTTTCTAAAGCTTTATATCATACAAAGGAATTGTGAATATTAACCAAAGTATAATAAAAACAGATGTAATTATATGAAGACTTGAAATAAATAATGTGATAAGTGCAAAAATCATTATTTCGAAATAATCGAATTTTTCTTCCTCAATGAATGTATGAGAAATGACTTTCTCAAAATGAAACATAGGTTTATTCAAGTGAATTATGTTTTTATGCATTAAATAATTTTGCGAACTTTTTGTAAAATAATTGTAAAAAAATATTGTGCGATCACAAAAATATAAAATATTGGGGTAAGTAATAATGAAAAACACAAAACTTGTTAGTTCTAAGGAGTATTGGGATAAAATAGGTCTTCATAAAATTTTCTATTTTCTTTCTACAAATAGAGGACCAGAGTTTCCCGTATTTTAACTAATCCCAGATTTTGTCGGTTAATGTTGATCCATTGAGCTTTTGAAATTTGAAGCTTGGATGTACTGATTGAACTTTCAGAAGCAACTTTAAAATCGAAGAAGGCCTCACGGTTCATTAATGTAACAAGAAATGGTGTTTTTTTACAGCTGTTGTCATCATTCTTACCAAATCCATAGGTACCTCACACTTATCTTGCTTTTTTCGCTTTTCAATTTGGGCGAAATCCTTGTCGCAACTCATAAATGAATGACCCGATACTAGATACTTGTGATTTATCTTATCGAAATACCCTTCGTGGACAACTAAAAAATCCATAAAAACAATAACATTTTATTTTTATTTTGTCCGACACAGTTGTCGCTCCAAATTGTTACTTTTCGTTTCTGTATCCGTATATTAGTGAATGCTTTCAACACACACGACGGAATTTTATTCTCTCATACATTTGACTATGAGTTATAGTTGGCAATGATAATACCTGCTGTAGATCCATAGAAACTGTCATGGTGTCACTCGTGGGTTACTGACAATTCTGATGGTCTTTTATCATTGCTTCTACAGCTGCTTCAGCTTTTCGGTGGTAAAGTTCTAACTTAAATTGAGCATCTTTCTGTGTAGGATCTTTTGTTTGTATCTGGAGTAAATCACAGGTAGCACATGTATCCGTTCTAGGCTTACGAAAGCTTACATTGGAAAAATTATTTTTTTAAATTTGAAAATAAAAACGGTAGCTCGCTTCTGAATCAAAATGAGTTCTCTTAAACGCCAAGTAAGTATATTTATATTGATATCAGAGCTCAGATACTGTTTCTCGCTTTTTAAACGGTTGTAATGTCAAACGTCTCTCAGAAATTTGTTTATGTGCTGGATAACCAATGATTTATTTTCCGGCATAAACTTTCTAAATTGCAGTTTGTTACCTTTCCTTTCCTTATAAATTGAATCTGCTTTTTTTTCAACTTAGCTCATGTTTCAATTTGTCTTGGAGTTATTCCAAACACCGCGCAAAATGTCTTCCTATACACCTGTAAAATGTTCTCTTTTCCGTTGGACAATGTGAAGGAAAGCGTAACGTCTCTAACTCTCTTCTGGTCTCTCATAATTTCCATGCCTTCTTCTCTTGATAGCACACGCATGGATAAAATTCATAGTATACGATTTTGCCGTACATTATCATTCAAACCATAAAATTCGTTAAAAAGCCTCAATTTTTGTTCATACTGCATCTCTTTACACTTGAAGTTGCATTTGCAAAATATCTAAAACAAAATTTCATAATAATTACTGCCCAAAAATAAAAACAATAGTCGACTAACCTTAATTTCTGAATAACTACTGCCAAAAATAAAAACAATATTCGACTAACCTTATTTTCAGGAGGCTGCTTGGCAGTAACTTTTTTATTATTTTTCTTTGTAATACTCTCAGCATTCTTTTTTCTGCTTTCTTTTGTTATTGCCCTTTTTCGAAGTAGCACCAGCATTCATTCTTATATGATTTTAAGCTAATACAGAACGAGATAAACAATAACAACTTTACTAATACAACATCAAAACAGTACTGAAACTGTCATATTTATTGGCATTTACCACATGTTTTACCGACGACGCGACGTAATGGTGATTGACAAACACGCACTCTGTTGAGAATTTTTTAAGTACGTAATAATAGCACTTACCACATTATTTATTTCATGTCTTCATATATAAAAGACATATTATCTATTACCTGTGTGCAAGTACTTGAGGGGATACGAGAAACGATCGTGTACATACAGGGGTGAAATCTTTGTTAGCATTTTTCATAAGTAGCTATTAAAGAAAATGGGATTTCGCAAATGATGTATTATAAATTATAAAAATACAACAAAAAATAGTTAATTCAAGTCCTATCGATTTCCAACTTCTAAGCACAAATTAATGCAACGAGAAAAGTTGATATATATCATAATAAAGCAGAAGTAACTAACATAACCCGAATTCTGCATTCTTGTTTGACGTAATCATTAAATTGAAGTTCAGTTTGTTTACAATTTTATTATTATTTTTTTTAATTTAAAATAATGCTAAACATTTCTTTAAGTTCGGATTACCCAAACCAAAAGTTGACAGAAAAAAAAATTAATGATTAAAAAAAATGTGATGTAAGTTTCCTTTGAATGGTTTGGATTGACAAAAGATACAGCTATACAATGTAGTCTAAAATAAACATTAGTTAAATTGTACTTTATAATTAATAACTGTATTTTACAGTAGATATGATAGTTAGTTGAAAAGGTATTTTATGATTTATTTTCTAGAATCCAGTTTTTATTATTGCATCCTATTTCATTGTATTAAATGAACACATAGTGTTAACATCTTCGCTGATGTATGCCACTAGGTGTCGCTCTTCGGAACTTGCAAACTTGCAAATTAAATTTATATTAAGTGCTTACAAGTTATGATCTATAATATTATCTATAAATGAAATGATCATTTAATCATTGAACTTAAACAAAAGTAGGATGAAAAATAAATTAAGGGTGAATTAAAATAATGTTTGCCTATTTGCATGTACCTATTTCTATTTATTGTTTACTATAAGTTTTGCTTAAATTCACAGAATAATTAACCATATTTTCTAGGTCATGGTTCCATGGGAATTAGCAACTCTATAGGGTCTAATACGTTTGATATTCTACTTTGTTTAGGGTTACCTTGGTTTATCAAAGCAACATTTATGCCAACCATTGCAGGAAGACATTGGGTAAATATTTTGTTATTACAAACAATAAAATAATATGTCGTGTTTTTAGATTTTAATATAACAAATAACTAAGGCAATTTTTTAAAACAATTTTATTTTTTAATGAAAATCTATAGTTTAACTACTTTTGCACAAAATTGTCCTTCATAATAGGTCACTTACCACGTTAAATAACGAACTTCTGGAATCTGTCATCATAGAAGTTTACCGCCTGCAACACATTAATTTAGCAACGATCTTCCAAAAGGTCCTTCAGTAGCAGGAACACGATAACGGCTGTATTAACTCATTTTTTACTGTTCAGTCCTTCATAGTTTTTTATACTTAATATTTTGATGGTGAATTATATCTGCATTTAGGCTTTTAGCGCAAAGAAAACGAATAAGAGTGCCTATTTTATAGTCGGCCGATTCTGAATCAGCAGAGGGATTCTTAATAAGCAAAATATGAATTACTATTTAACTGGGAATAAGCCACAATTAAAGATAAAAATACGTTTATTGACGTTTCAATTTCCACTTTGGAAATCGTTCTCAAAATACAAACAGTAAATTTACTTAATTAATTACGTAATTAATTTACAATGCCACAAGAAAATAGCTTTAGAACAATATTAAGCAAAATATGGTTTATACAATAGTATGCAAAGCTAGTTTACAGATATAAGTACAGAGTGTAGATGCACGGGAAACTCACTGTTTTCTTATTTGTAACTTGGTTACACTGTGTTATTTGTAATTGATTTACAATATTTAGTTGTTACTATATCTATTATTTTTTTATTTCAGGTCGGTATTAACTCAGCTGGTATTGAATACAGCGCTATTTCACTTCTCTCTACGTTACTGATGTTGTACATCGCCTTTGCGTTAAACAAATTTCAGCTCGATAAAAGAGTTGGCAGGGTGTGTTTGTTAATGTACGCAGTTTTTCTCACTTTGGCCAGCCTGATAGAATTAAATGCATTCTTCAGAGTAAATTTACCAACGTGCGGACGGTGAATTGTGGATTATGAAGCAAGTCAAGCGAGAATAGTTGGAAAACTACAAACATTTAATGAATTTTAATACCAGGTGTACCTTTTACTGTAACAACTAAGATTATTTTATTGTATTAAAGAACAATGTGTTGTTAGTGACAAATTTTAGGTTTATTTAAATAAGTTTTTTATTGATATTACTGTAATATTACTGTTGTATGCTCTGTCAAAATCTTGAATTTAGAACTGTAGCTATTGGTTTAATTATTAAGTTTTGTAGTTTGTAGCTATGTAGTCTAATATAACTATATTCAGTGTTAATGCAAAATTGGTTTTAAATTTCAGCTGCATTATCATCATAATAAGTCAGAGTATATGAATCAAGATACGTCTAACGACGTTTTAGACTTTTATCTAATCTGGATTTAATTTTCTTATTTCTTGTTTTATTTAACATGTTCCCTTCTTTGTTTTTTTTTTACTAAAGTCTCTGCAATATTATATTGCATAGATCGCATAAATTTGTTTATATATATATTTATAATTAACTTGTTTTATATATACATGTAAATTGCTTCTCTGACTGAATAAATCACATTGACATCCGTTGTCCATCGTAAGCTAATCCATCTTAATATATTTTGAATTTGAAAGTTTTTAATCATTTTGCAGCTGACCATTATGACGAGCAGATTGCAATCGATTATTTGAGTCTTTGAAAAAAAATACCATTTCAACTTAGAATTTAAAAAAACCAAAAAAACATAAGGCGAACCTGGTAAACATTTGTTTATTTCCAATTAAATGCGCTTGGGTTTATCCACAAATCGAACTGTACTTTATAATATTATGTGAGTGCGGGTGTAAAAAGTTACTTTGTAATATTATGTCGTGACAATACATTTCCTAACTCTACAGTTGGTAATCCCACAAAGACAATTGGTACCACCATCAATTCGTACCGGCGACACTGTATTCGCACCGTGTGTGACTGACGCGACACCTACCGCCTTCATCTAACAGTTTTGGACCTCATTATTTGAGGTTAAACATATATAAATACATACGAAAGTGACAATTATTAATAACTAGTTTTTTAATTATATTTTTTTCCAGTTTATGTATGAAATGGATGTAGTAAAAAGAACTGGGTTTTAATAATTTATAATTTATCTTTTTAACTCCAAACGGAAAATAAAGGGAAAAATATATTACGGGCAAATAACGTTTGTCATGTGAAAGGGCATGTAATTAAAAACAATAATAGTAAAAGTTATGAAATAAAAGCTTAAGTTATCAGGCAGGCTGCAGTTAGCTTGAAGCCTTATAAAACACCATTAAAGGTACCTATATTATTTAAATTTTTAGAAAAAGATATGCATAAAAGTAGAAAAATTGTATAAAAAGCATTTCAATTCCCTTTTCTAGGTTGATGATGCCTGCCTAGTGATTAAGACATGATGTCTTAAAACAATATTAAAAAGAAAAAATATTTTCTTTTTAATATTAAGAGCACGAATCCATCTTCCTCTTTTTGCTAATTTATATGTAATCTTTGGAAACCTAACAAGAACTACACTCACTATTTTTGACAATATTAGCACAATTAAATACGTAATATTTATTTGCACCCATTTTTGATAAAATTTATGCATAAAAAGATACGTCCAATTTTGTCATATATATCGCCGATAGGCACGCTGGCATCCTTTCGAGGTAGCCCTACCATAGTTATGCATGGAGTTAGTAACATCGACAATCCGTAACTACAACTATTTGTTATGGAATTATTCGTAGTGTCAAAATTGAATTGTTTTGTGTATTTTCGTTAACATAGACCAATTTTCACTACAGTTTTATTTGAAATTATAATTAAAGTTTTCCCATTTTAATTTTCCTTAAATTGCCATATAGGTACCTAGATAAAGTAGTAGTAAAGTAATTAGTGCGATCCTTAGACCAATAACCATCTTAAGAAATTTCCAAACTTCCAGTTGTGAAAGTTTTTATAGTAAACAGTTTGTAAAGGAAATGGTGTTATTACCTATTATGAGAATGAGCTTGTGATTGGTTAAAACTAATAGGAGAAATGTCTTAAAAAAAACACTGAAAAACATTATTGAGCGTTTAACTAGTGGTTAGAGTTTTTTGAATAATATTTGTAAGACATTCAAAATCGCAAGCAAACATGTATAATCTTAGTTCGCGTGGAAAACGTACTCTTATATACCAAAAATTCAAGTTAGTTGACGCGTGAGGATATCAATAAATGCATATATATATATATATATATATATATATATATATATTAAACCGGTTTTATAGCGTTCTACGCCTTTCCGTTCCTAATCGCCACTCTTTTCTATTATGGCAGTGTTCATCTCTCAAATTTCGTTCCGACATTGCCTTGGAGATGCCTTTCATCCATGTGGTTACTGGTCTTCCTCGTTTTCGTTTTTCTGTGGGGGTCCATTCTAACACTTTCTTGGGGATTCTTCTTTCCTCCATTCGTCTTACGTGCCCGTACCATACTAGCTGTTGTCTTTCAATGTCATCTATGATTGTTCTTTCTATTTCCATTTGTTGTCTAATGTCGTCGTTTCTTATGTGTTCTAATCTAGATCTTCTTGCTGACCTTCTCCAAAAATCCATCTCAGTGGCTAGTAATTTATCCTTGTATTTCTTAGTTAATTGCCAGACTTCAGCTCCATAAGTTAACACTGGTTTTAATATTGTGTTGTAAATTCGTTTTTTATTTTCTGTTCTTATATTTTTTTGCCACAGTACCGAATTCAGGGCTCCTATCACCTGTCTTCCCTTTACTATTCTGTCTTTAATATTTTCTTCGGTTCGTCCTGTGCTCGTTAGTTTTATTCCCAGATATACATATTCCTTACAGCTTGTAATTGTCTCCTGTTCCAGGTTCAGGTTCTCTGTTTCTTCTCTGCCTACACATAGATATTGTGTTTTTTTGGTGTTTACCTCCAGACCCCATTTTCTGTATTCCTCTATCAGTTTCCTTGTCATATATTCAAGATCTTCTTTGTCCTGTGCAATTACAATTTGGTCATCTGCATAGTGTAGCGTATAGAGTATCGTATCTCCTATCGGTAGTCCCATTCCATTGCACTTCTTCTTCCACTGCCTCAGGGCTTCATCAATATATATATTAAATAATACTGGCGATACACAGCATCCTTGCCTTAGTCCTTTAGTGACGAGGAAACCTTTGGATATTCTATTTCCAATTTTAATTTTAGATGTCGAGTTTCTATATAGTTCTTTCAGCGCCTGTATGATAGATACATTTATGCTGGTTTTTTCTAGTACTTCCCATAGTCTATTAATGGGTACCGTGTCATATGCCTTTGTTAGATCTACCATAAGCAAATGCAACTCTTGGGCTCTTGACAGCCTCTTTTCTATTACTTGGGTTATACAGAAAATGTTGTCTATTGTGGATCTACCTGCTCTAAAGCCGCTTTGTTCCTCTGACTCGTATGGATGGTACTCTTCACATATGAGGTCTTTTAGTATTCTTCCGTATAGTCGACTTAGTGTGCTAGTTACGGTAATACCTCTGTAGTTATTTGGGTCTTGTTTACTACCTTTCTTGTGTATAGATGTTATCCATCCCTCTTTCCATGTCTGTGGTACCGGTTCTCCATTTAGATATCTGTTAAATAATATTGTTATTATTTTTGCTAGTTTGTCAGTACCATTTTTTAGTAGTTCTGCGGGTATTCCTTCCGGACCTGGGGCGCGGCCGTTTTTTAATAAGGTTATTGCCTTTTTGATATGTTCCTCATTTATATTTATTGGCTGTCCTGTTATCTCGATTATGTTTTGTGATGTGGTACTGTATTCTGGTCTTTTTTCTACTAATAGTGTTTTGTAGTGCTCTTCCCATTTCATTGTTGTTATGGGGTTTATCATAGTTTCTTCTCTTTTGTTAGTTCTGACATTTTTAATAAATCTCCAGGCTTCCCTAGATTTTCGTCCTCCGATGTACGTGTCCAGCTCCTGACATTTATCTTCCCATTTTTGATTTTTGGCGTTTATTACATCCGTTTTGAACTTACTACGTGCTTGCTGATATTCACTTTTTTTTGTTCGTTTTCTCTGTTATTTAGCCACTTATGGTATACTTCCTGTTTATGTTTTTTCATTTCTTCTAGCTGATCATTCCACCAGTAATTTCTAACTTCTCGCTTTTTCGTTGTGATACCTAAAGTTTCTTGTGCCGCTTTGTGTATTCCATTTATTATTGTTCTGTAGAGATTTTCCGTTGTTTCTCGTTCGTATTCTCTAGGAAGAGCTTGATCCAATCTGCTCTTGTACAAATATTGTGTGCTTTGATTTTCCAAGCTATTAATATTGTAGTGTGGTATATCTATATTTGTAAGCTCTTCGTCATTTTCTGCTCCATTTTGTTGATGCTTATCATTTCTAAATCTAGGTATGTATATTTTCGCTTTAACTAGATGATGATCGCTGCCACATTCTGCTCCTCTGTATACTCTTATGTCATTCACTTTGAGCTGTGTTTTTTGTTTAATGATCATATAGTCAATTACTGATCTAAGGTTTCTGGTGTATTGTGTCCATGTATAGGTGTGGATATCTTTATGTTTGTAGTATCCATTAGTGATTCTAAGTGAATTTCGTTGGCATACTTCAATCAGTCTGTTACCATTATCATTTAAGACGTTTTCACCGAAAGGTCCTGTAACTTTATTGTTTTGTTTGCTGCCCGTTCTGGCGTTAAGGTCTCCCAAAATCACAATTTCTCGTGTGATGCCTATTTGTGATATTGTTTCATCTAAAGACTCATAGTACTTTTCTTTTTCCTCTATTCTAGCATCTTCGTTGGGTCCATACGTACCAATAACTGAGATTCGATGTGATTTTAAGTTTATGTTTATCTTTATTATTCGTTCATTGATTATTTCCCAGCTAGTGATGTTTTTCTTATATTTCTTTTTGACTAGTATTGACACTCCTCCTTTCGCATGTTCTTCCTTTTTTACTCCACCATATATGTGTATATACTTATCTATATTTTGGGTACCCTGTCCTTTTTTCTTTGTTTCTGTTAGTACTATCAGATCTATTTTCTCTTTGTCAATTTCTCGTATTATTTCTTCCATCTTACTTCTAACACCCCTCACATTCCACGTACCAAAAATCATTGTCCTTTTTCGTTGCTGTCGTCTTAAGTTTTCCGTCTTGTTCCGAGGCTGATTAGGATTTTTTGCGGTATAAGAATACAGATAATGGGTTGCAGGCCCATTGCTCCGTTTGATTTTCTGTAGGGGTTTCTTCCCTTAGCCGATGTGTCCCAGTTTTGAGGCGCCAGGAACTCGCCTTTTACCCATCTCTCGTCGGTTACGTCAATAAATGCAACAAGGAGGATATTACAAAACCCTTCACAGCAGATGCAAATAATATGGTAAATGAGATGAGAGCAAATACAAAAACTCCAAAAAATAACTACTAAATAAAACTTTCTGAAATTTGTAAAGCTGAATATCTGTAATATTGTCCTTATTCTCACCTAAAATAAAATTTTTTGTGCATTTTTAGAAAAGGTAATAATGATTTTTAAATCCACAGACTATCAGAAAGGTGGCTTCCTCTCACATTTCCCTGTGTCAACTTCTTTGGTCTCAAAAACTGCGTTTTTTTTTGTGGGGAAACCTGTACCAGGTAACGCGTGGAACACTCTTATCGCTGCTAATCTGGCATCATTCCCAGCTGGACATTTCCTCCTTACCTACAGTCTTACTGATACAGTCTAAATCACTTTTCTACCTTCAACTTACAGCATCTTTTCCTCTTACATTTGCGATTGGTCCAGCTGTCTTTCTTCCTCTTCTTTTTTTATTATTTCACATGTATATTTGTGTACACTTATCGAACCTGCTTAGTTCCCTGGTCTACTGATGTATATTTACAAATCGCAAGAATTTTTCCTGAATTTAATGAAGAAAGTAAAAAGTTTTTGCAGTACTTTAAAAACACGTATATAAGAAGTCGTGAATTAAATAATGGACTAGGCGAGATCTGGCATTTACTCCAGACAGATGGAATCATCGTCAAAATGTAGTAGATAGTTTGGCGGCCAGGACTACCAGCAGCGTAAAAGTATTTTACTATTTACTTCAATCTTTATGTCAATCCATCAAGCCATCCCAAAATATGGAAATCTCTGGATAGACTTTTTGAAGAAGTTACTTTACACCACATATCATATTTGCAATATAAAAGTGGATCAGTACGGCCGCATAAACAAATGATATGTTTAAAATAAGTTGTATTGAAAACAGTACCACTATTTTTAGTGTAGGAAAGTATGCAAAATGCATTTTTGTCTGAATTTGGTAATGATAAATTTGCTGAAAAAAAGTAAATATTAGCGTTTCGGATTATACCGTTACAAATAATTTTGAAGTTAGGAACCGCCGATGTTACGAAGTTTCGCCATTACGAAATGACGGCGTTACGAATTGTCCGTTACCATTTTTGGGGTCACAAACTGTTGCGTCACTGTATGTCATGGTTATTATGTAAGTTGTATTCTAATTTCAAAGTAGAGTAGTTGTCTGTCAAATTAGAAATATATTTTGTACATTGTTATCACAACAAAACTTATCCACCTCATCTACATTTATCGATATTGGAGGGTAAACTTAATGTATTATCATCGACGACAAACACGTTAAAAATTGTTTGTGTAGTAACATAGAATAATTGTTTACAATTAACGAAAGACAATTTTTAGCCTTAATCTATTGTAAAAGAAGTTTTTTATCTATAATTTTTTTTAAATATATAGGTATTGTTTATTTGGTGACAGTGTTTCCTTTCTTAAAAATGTTGCGATTAAATGGATCACTTTATTTATTTAAGTACGTCAAACTCGTAGTAACCAACCTCATATAATGGATAAAAAGGACACTGTACACTTGTACAGAGTCTCCCATAATCCTAATCCCACAAAAAAACATCACAAGCTGTGCCAAAATATTTACGATGCCAATTAATCTCTTAGTGTGTTAGCATTATTTTATTACATAAATATACTAACCATAAATTAGTACAAATTTTATTTTGTTGATCATAAACAAAATCAAAAATATCTTGGTTCAAATTTTGTCGTCGAAAATCTACTTTAATATTACTCTTCAAATATTTTACATTGATGAACATTAGTTTGTTACCAATTTATGATATTTTTCATATTTAAGAAAACTGTCACTACTTATTTGTTTAAATATAAGTAATCTATAAATAATAATGGTATTTTATTAAATTACATTCATATTCATGTCATAATTAAGAAGGTGCATAAAATTTCACAGTAAAAAGTTGTAATGATTTGCCTTGGCCTTTATATAATTATCATGGTCTTGGCCGCTATAAAATATCAGCCGCTGTCCAATGCACTATCAAATTAAAATAACCATAGTAATATTTAAGTTGGCAGTTGTAGCAATGAAGAACAGGGTTTAAAACACAACACTTTGTAGCACTCAGCACTGCTAAATGCCATTGTTTATGCCATCATATGTTTAAGTTGATTTCATGCAAATCTATATATAAATATATATAGATTTTTTTATATATATAAAAATTTCTATATATATATATATATATATATATATATATATATATATTAAAATTTCCATTTCCATTTTCATTTACAAAAATTATTAAAATCTCCGGTAAGTACGTTATGTAGCAGAAGGAAGAGAGTGAAAAGCGGGTTTTGGGCGCCTTATAATTGGAACACACCAGTAAACCCTTACCAACTGTACTGAGACAACATGTTAATTTTCGCCATCATACCTCCTAACATAAAAAAATGCTTAAATCATGGCACTCATTTTCTGTAGGCTCAAATGGTCCTAAATCAAGCTAGGAGGGCAGAAGATGCTACGAATCTGTGGAGTCCAAAACCGCTACCAAAGTAAAACAATGCTTCATATAGCGTCATTTAACTGCCGCTGACTATTACATTAATTTAGACTTGGAGAAAGAAACTGAAAAAATAAAATAAAACGTCATAGCAATTTGCGAAGTAAGACGAAAAGATGAAGAACAATTGAAATTACCTCCAGATAACACATTCTACTACCAAGAAATATGAATGGGCAGAACACCATGGCGCACCCAGGGGGAGTTTTGGAGGTTAAACCCCCTCAGGACCCTATTCCGATACTGTTATTTACAATCAGGACTTAAAATGGTGTGGAGGTAGCATAAAAAAATTTCGATACCCAACCAAAACCCCCCTCACTCCCCAGAGGAAAATTCTAGGTGCGCTACTGGCAGAACAGGCGGTATTAGATTACTATTTAACAAGAAATAGAAACGAAGAGTAGAGTAAAAGTAACTAGTATCTCGAATAGAGTAGCTACCTTAACCTAGCATCTATCAAAGAGATATAATATACAAATTAGAAAAATATACACTTCAACGATTACTCATACTGACGAAGAAATAGAGAAAGTCCCATTAACATCACTGGAGCATTTATTAGCAATAAAAGTCACTTTTGGTGACTTTAATGCTAAAGTAAGAAAAAGAAACGGTAAGGAACAAATCAATGGAAAGTATGGACTCGGTGAGAGAAATGAATGGGGCGAACAACAGGTTTAGTTTGCATAGTATGTAAACATGCCTACTGCAAATGCACTGTTTACAAAAAAATCGAACAGAAAATTGACTTACGTAGCATTAAATGGAACCAGTAAGAACGAAATTGACCTCATTCTAACCAACAAAATAGCTACAATAAAAGAGGTGAGTGTAATAAATTAATTTTAAACAGGCAGCGACCATAGATTCTAAGAGCATAAATTGTTCTACATCTATAACTATAAAGAATAAAATTAATCACAAAATCAACAATAACCTATATAAATATTATCATTATAAAAGAAATATCACTACCAAAAGACAATTGATGAAAGATGACATTACTAAATCGACAGCTTTTATTTAATGAAAACCATCTTTGATTACAGCAAAGAAATCAGAGGACCGCAACAACAAAATGAACTAAGTAAACTGTCTAATAAAACCAAAGTAATGCTAAAAGAAAATAAGAAATGAAAGTAAGTAGCAATATACAAAGAATACCTAGAACTTTGTAAGAAAATAAGGAAAAGTATTAAGGAAGACATCACGTCGACCACTACACGTCAGGATTGAAGAGAGAGATTAAGGAAGACATAAGAAAATATAATGAAAGACTAGTAAAAAATGCAATCAAAAATAGAAAAAACTATAAGAAAACAAGAAAAGCATTAATCATTAGAAAAAAGCAAATCGTTGCTGTAACAAACGAAAACGTCAGAATTACAGATAGAAACAAAATAGTACAACTTGTTACTAAATCCTACAGCGAACTATACCAAGCCACTGAAACACTTAAAGAAGCAGTCAGTAACCAATATGTACCAAAAGTCCTTCCGAAGGAGTAGAATCAACAATTACGAAAATAAAAAGCGGTAAATCAGCTGGAATGGATGGAATAACAGTGAAACTTAAACGCTGTTAAAAAACCTGCAAAATCTTAGCAGGCATATATTTACGAACTGCCTAAAATTATCAGACCACTAAAATATGGCAAACATAATTCTTCTCCTTCCTAAGAAAGGTAGCAAAGAGGATATCAAAAACTAAAGACCTATAAGTATACTACCAATCATATACAAGATATTCACAAAGATCATCAACAACACAATAACAGACGCTTTAGATGGTGCAGAGCCAAGATAGCAAACTTGCTGGTTTTAGAAGTAGATTCAGTACCCTTAATCATATCCATAAACTTCAAGAACTAATGGGTAGAACCAAAGAATATGAAAGACCGCTAGCATTAAACTTCATAATAATAATAATATAATAATTATAATTTATTCATCCTGAAAGATTATTTACATGATATAGGATAATCGAATAAAAAAATATAAATACTTATAAATATAAAACATCACAATTTCAGAATTAAAAGATAAAAAGTACATAGGATTAATTATTTACATCACCCAGATATTCACTTACACTGTACAAACAATTTTGCAATAGAAAATATTTTAATTTACCTCGAAATTTATTTAAATTCGTTTCTGATTTAATACTGTTGGGAAGATGATTGAAAAGTCTTATACCCATATAATACTGCGATTTTTCAAATCATGCTGTATTATGTTTTGGTACTCTGATGAAGTCATTTTGCCTAGTTGAGTAGTGGTGATAATCGGGAGTTTAAAAGAAAAGTAGTTATATTGGCTTTTATATGTAGTAAATATTTAAATATATATATATATATATATATATATATATATATATATATATATATATATATATATAAATCTATGTATGTATAAATACATACATAGATTTATATATACCTATGTATATATAAATCTATAGTCTATGTATATATATATATATATATATATATGTATATATATATATATATATATATATATATATATATATATATATATATAACCAAAAGGATGATAACGGGTACGAGTACTATGTAGTGAAAAGGAGATAATACTGGGAAGTACCCTTTTATAACTGAGGAAGCAAAATAAAACTAGGGTGCTTCGTTAGATGTGCTTTTTAATTAAAGGTCTAAGCTTTCGTCAATGATTATTGACATCATCAGAGTAAACCTAATTCTAGCAAGTAACTCAGTAACTTGGGTTGAACACAAAGAAAGTATTGTCTATGTATATATTAAACATAGTTGTAGAAATGGTATCCATAGTTTACAATGTGTTTTTTATTTAATTATAAACGATATATTTACTATAAATCTAACCACAAACCTTTTTTGGTTTGCTAAAAGTAAGACTCGAATGGTGGTTAAGTGAGAAAAAACTACTTCCAAATTCTCAGTTCGGTTATAGACAAGGATGTGGTACTTTGGATGCACTCGCTACCGTAGTAACTCACATTCAAAATGCATATTCTCGCAATACTTATGTACCACTATTATGTTTAGATATTGAAGGTGCATATAACAGTGTTAACTTAGATATGCTAAAAGAAAAAATGATTCATCAATTCCAAATACCTTCTATGCTGGCCCAAAATATTGTCAATTTCTATTTAAACAGAAAAATATATATTAGGAAGGAAAACAATCAACTCGTTGGACCACGTTTTAATAGTTCGGGTCTTCCACAGGGCTCAGTTTTAAGTCCACTTCTATTTAATCTTTACATAGCCGATTTTTATAATATAAGTATCGAAACAATTTCATTTAATACAATACAATATGCAGATGACTTCTATATCTATACTCAATCTAAAAAATACAATAACGGCTTAAACACATTGAAAAGTGTTCATGAACATTACTGTAGGTGGTTTAAAAAAATGGTTTTGAGTAGGCAAACAACAAGTCTAACATTTGTATATTCACTAGACATAACTTGCCCCAAGGAGAACAAATAAAATTAAATGATAATTATTTTCCCCTCTGTAAGTCGGGTATTTGGGTATGATTTTGGATACAAAACTGACCTGAAAACTGCATATTGATTTTATGCTTGATAGATATAATAAAGCACTAAACTTTCTCAAATCAATTTCAAAAACTTGATGGGTACAGATGTTGAAACGTGTCTTTTATTTTATCGTTCTTATATCAGGTCCATTATAGATTAAGGCTCTGTACTTTACGCATCCGCTATATAGTAACAATATTTTAGGTCGTATAGATGTTTTTATAAACAAAGTTTTGAGGTGTTGCATTGGTTCTATGAGATCTACCCCTATTAAACCACTTTATGTTGAGACAATGGAACCGCCCAGTAAATTTAGAAAAGAATCTCTCAGTCAAAAATTTCTGCTTAAAGTTCGTTGCTACAACACTTGTTTATATAAGGATATAAGTATTTTAAATTATTTCGACTTAACAAATAAATAGTGGACTCGCAAGAATTCTTCAACGTTATGCGAAGCATTTGGAAATACTGCAAATAAAGATACTGAACTTAAAGTTGCAAACAAAGTGGAACATTTTAAAGATTTCTTTGAGTTACTGGATCAAGTACATATAATAAAACCTATTTATCATAGGAACCCTTTAATAAGTCGTATTGTTTTAAACAACTATTTGACAAATTGGCCAAAATCTGTTTGTATTTATACAGACGCATCTCAAAGTTCAAAGGGTACTGGTTGTGCCCTTTATGTTCCAAATAAATTAATAGAAAAAATGTTTAAGCTGCCCACAAATTTCTCTATTTTTATTGCTGA